CCCCTTTTTCACTCACATAAGTGCCCCTTTTCATATCTGGTCGTTGCCCAATTTCAGGAGCAATAAGTACCTCTTTTCACCTCTGATAATTTCCCTTTTAACCGTGCCCCTTTTCCTTTCTAATACGGGACCTATCCCCTTTTCACCTCTTATAAATGTCCCTATCAACATCTGATGGGGCCCCCTTTTCGTCGACAAATGCCCATTTCCTATTCACATGACTGACTTTTCTCATCCCTGGTGAGTGCCTCTTTTTGAAGGTGTAAGAAGTTAGTGTCCCCTTTTCCTCTAATCATTAAACGCGCCTCTAATTTCACGCGACTAAGAGCAATTTCCCCCAGAGCTCGCTCGCTAAGCTCTCACGCATTTATAAATGATATACTTATGTTATTTATCAAAGTTCTTTTCAGTCTTCCGTTATGAAAATGTGGCAATAACCCCATCAGGAATGGGTTTGTTCCTCTTTATAAGATTTTTTCGCACTTCGACCTCTCAAATCTTAAAAAATTTCCTTGTTCGCTTCACTCGCTCGCAAATAAATTTTCAGACAATCAAACCCAGCTGCAAAGTATGATGCTTAAGCAATATCTTTTATGGTGTATGAAGTGAAAAAAATATTGAAATCATCTTTGATAATGTAGTCACAATGTAGGGGTAAATACCAATGTCTAAAACATTGTATATTTTCGCTTTGAGATTTCCCTTTGTAGGTGCCCTTTTTCCAGAAAGTGCCCTTTTTGGGGGGTGCCCCCACTTTGGAAATCGCTGGGCCGCCCTTGTGAGCACATATTGTGTGCGGGCAAGCATTGAATCCAATGACCGGGGTAATACTAATAGTATATCTGTAAAGCGCTTAGAGACGTCCGATATGTATAAAAGCTGAATATTTTCATTATCAATATTCCAGGAATAGTTGTTGTATAGGCTTTCGGGGATGTTATATCTTGCTATCACCCCTTTGCACGCCTCGGGTGATATCAGGATGCAACATCCCCTTGAGCCTATACAAAAACTGTTTCTCTCATAGCAGTCATTATATCCATAATATCACTTTTCCTTGAGTCTTGATTAAAAGGTAATAATGGCTTTAAAATTGTTTCTTGTTTTTGTTTTTTTGCTATGAAAGTGCATTGTGGAGAAGAAGTGTTGAGTGAAATCTGGACACAAACAAATATATGTGTGCTCACTTTTGTAAGCGACAATCAAACTCGCGTACTATTTTGCTTTTGTATTATTTTTATGTTCCCATGTCCACGCACAAAGAACAGCTAGCCTTCAAACAACAAAGGGTTCCCAACCAGATGTCTATATTATCGGGTATTTGGGTGTTTCCACTATTCAACGTGTGAATTAGTTTGGCGCGGTTATTACATTGGTTCCATATGGTGATATGACGCAAACAAGTCTTTGAGCATGGTCCATGCTTTGACTCTGTTCTGATTCAGGGGCATTTAGACCTAGTGGCGGATCCAGGGGGCCGGGGGCCCGGCTTCCTCCCCTAGGGGAAAAACGTGTAAAAACACGGTTATTATACCCTTTTTTGCGCTCAAGGGGGGGGGGGGTGCGATTTTTCAAATTTTCGAGGGCAAAAAAAAAAAATTAGTGCTCATTACCCCCCCCCCCCCCTCCCCCACTGAGCAAAATATCTGCCGGCTATTTCGCCGCTAAATATTTTCTCACGAATTGGGCCCCCTTCCCTGCCGCCGTCTAGATCCGCCCCTGTTTTAGACCCCCCCCCCCCCCCTCCGTCCCCGCACTGTTAATTTATACTTTCATCTTCTAGCTCATTTCACGAATCTATCATCTTTCCTTGAGTCTTTAGTTGATGGAACAGTTAATTATGCTTTTAAACTTCTTTTTTTGTGGGGGGGGGGTATTAAAGTGCAATGTCGAGAAGAAATTTGATTGAAATGTGGACACGAAGAAATTGTGTACTCACTTTTGTAAGCGACAATAAACAACACGTGTGGTTTGCTCATTTTCTTTCTTTCTTGCTATGTGTTTCTTCTCACATAAGATTGCTAGCCTTCAAACAACGAATCGTCTTCTTTTTCCAATATTCAATGAAACGTCAAAACTTCCGCGCTTCGCATGGGAGGGGAAAAACTCCCCCCCCCCCCCTCCTCTCTCTAGCTCTGCAACCACCCCCTCTACGCGGCTTGATAATTGCAGTCTCGTTTACATTCTAACAGCGTCACAAGACGGTTGGCCCGCATGACGGAATCTTGAAATAGCAGATATGGCGGTCTCGCTATCCTTAATAGTCTCACAATTTGTATCAGTAACTGACCTAAAATAATGGAATGGCCGATGTCGGTCTCGCGGACCAGGGCCCTGTTTCATGAAACTTGATATCATTAACAACACTATGAACGTGACTGACAAAGAAAGCGGACAAATTATACAGTTCCTCAGGTAGACAAAAGAACATCCCTCCACTGCTATTATGTAAAAATGTGTAGAACAGGTGCCACATGCATATTCACCTGTTCTACACATTTTTACATAATAGCAGTGAGGGATGTTCCTTTGTCTACCTGAGAAACTGTATATTTTGTCCGCTTTCTTTGTCAGTCACGTTCATAGTGCAAGTTACAAGCTGTTATAAGCTACTGAAATCATGGCATCTGATTGGCTGAGAGCAGATTTGTAATAGAAACTAAGCACTCCTGACGACGGATAGTCACCTGTTCGAAACGTCGAGCCGCTTATCCTCTCCAAGCGCTATAGTTCTCCTTAGAACTATATGCTAAGAAAGATAACAAACAATCCTTTTCAGGACTACCACACCCCCAAGAAAGATTACTGAGTCAGAGTCCTTTTCAGGACTCCTCAACCCTCTTTCTCTCTCTCTCTCTCTCTCACATGGTGCACCCGCAAATCTACTGTATAGAAACTAAGCAGTTGTTATAGATAACAAGTTCTATGAAACGGGCTACTGACACCCTTTGCAAACTCTTCTGAGTTTTCGTGAGACAGACAGCGTCGCAGGTTTGTCGGTTTCTTCGGACGCCGAGCGAATGGGATGTCACTGGAACCCTATCATTATTGTTAATATAAAAGAGGTCTTTGTAAAAAAAAAAAAAAAAAAAAACATTGCAATTACAATATATACCCAATACAAATGTTATACTATTTTGTCTCCACATACAGGTATTTGATAACGGATTTGTAAGTTTCAATGAGATAGCGAAAGGAGTCCTGTCACAAAATCTAAATCTTCGTCCTCTCCGACGCAATGTAGATATCAGAATCGACGGCGATGTCTATTTCAGGTGCTGTATTACATTTGGACTTGATTAGATCTTATTGGTCATGTAGAGGTGATGTTAGTTTCCACTTAAAACTTTCGTTATATGATTAAAACCAATGAAGTTCAACGTCAAAAAAGAAATTGCTCATCAAAGATGCAACACGAAATGGAAGAAAGCAGGGATATAAAGAGAGGTTAAAAGAAATTCAGATATACTATTCGAGAGAGAGAGAAAGAGAGAGAGAGGGGGTGAAGGGGGCTAGACACTCAATACTTTTTTTTCAAAATTCTCCTCCCTCTTTTTTCTTTTTTTCTTTTTCTTTCTTCTCTTTTCTCTCCTTTCTTTCCTTTCTTTTCCCTTCTTTTCTTTCTTTTCTTTTCTTTCTTTTCTTTTCTCTCCTTTCTTTCTTTCTTTTCCCTTCTTTTCTTTCTTTTCTTTTCTTTCTTTTCTTTTCCTTTTTTTTTTTTTTTTTACTTTTCTTTCCCTTTCCCTCTCTTTTTTTTTTCCCTCCCCCTTTTTTCTTTTTTCCCGACGGCAGCGCAATTTTACCGACAATATAAATAAATCGTTACATAAAAATTAAAAAATATGAGGGAAAATAATCATACTGCAGTTTATAATAAACATTTTTTTTTTAGACAGCAATAAAAGAATCATTAAAAGACCCAAATCACCATTTTGACAATGCCTGAAAAGTAAGTTGACATCCATTTTTAAAATTACGAAACAACGTGCATAATGTTAAGACCTTCTCTTTCATTAAATTGATAAATGTTTCTAAATATCCTTACAAGATTTCCTATACGGCCGTTGTTTTTAGTTTTTTTAAAGACTAATTGGCAACGGACTAAATCGTATTTGGGAAATTGGCATCAATCAAAATTAATCTTAAGTCCGCATTCAGTTTCCTTTTCCCATCAAATATAATTTGCTTAAAGGCCCTCTGCACTACTTGTAGCTACTTGCGCCCTCTATATAACAAACAATGCCTAATCGGTGACCATTGGTCCCCCATAATCCACTTTTTCTTGTGTGAACTGAGAGCTGAGTTGATGAGATAACCACCTGTCCAGTGACCTTGCAGGGCACTCTAATCCCTCCTGTAAACTACGGCAGATAAGCTTTAATATACTCTTCTTAGTGGTTTTTGTACATTATTTTAAACATTATATTATGCATTAATTTTTCTTCTGGGCATATTCTCATTCTTTTCTTGGACATCTACCATGCAAAAATAAATTTCAGTGTTATATCCCATAAAAGACATCATCTTCAAGATCATTCATTTAGTAGTCATGGTAATCTGTCCTCAAACATGTAAAATTGATACTGACATTTTCTGACAAGGAAGAAATATTCAAATATTGTTTTATTGGCAAACAAATCTGCATTCGAATCCGTAAGGGGTACGAGGCATGAGGTGGCGGGGCGGAGAAGATTTTTTTTTAATACTAGGTTCGGAATCAAGATAGTAGTGAAGTGTATCTTTATGGTGAAATAAGATTTGTTACCAAATAAAGTATCTTTTTAACTTTGCTCTCTTGGGTCGCTGGCAAACTTTAGAAATAGACAAGTCAATACTGTCGTCGTCGCCCCCCCCCCCCCCCCACCACCCCTAGCGGTTAAAATGTGCCTGTACCCCAGTAAATCCGCTGTGATTTCTATTTCTTTTGCATTGATTGTATTTGTTTTCAATCTTGATATCGCTTTGTATTACATATGGAATAACTCGCTTTGTTAAAAAAAAAAATTGTGACATTCATGAACCTGCAGGACATCAGATCAAGGAACTGACCAAACAACATTCAGTAAAGCTGAGCGTGCAATTCGAAGAGCTACACCAGAGTTTCTCGGCCGTTCTTTACTCACAACTGTTGTTGTTTCATGGATAGAAGTACCTGCATTCAGTTTCGGGTCCTCACAACGGGTTCGTACAAAATGTTTTCTCATTCCTAGAAATCAATCAAGATAGAAATAAAACCATAGAGTGGCGTCCTGAAAAATAAAACCAATTCTTTTATGTTCCCCCTTTTTTATATGGTGTCCAGAGAAGTACGTTTCAAGTACTAATCGGAACAGATGGCGAGCTGACTTACGTTATCTTTAACTATGCGAACATCGAGTGGGACGTCTACCGTGTAAGTTATAGTGGCAACACAAACAAAACAAAATAGTAAACAAACAATCGAACAACCAATCTAAGAAACCTAAAAAAAAATGAACGAATACAATATATTATTTTAATTTATTTCAGAATACGTAACGTAACATCTTTTCTATGATACCCTAAAAATGGTAATTTACATGTAATCATTTTTATATTTTCTTTCTTCCCACATTGAAGGAGATATTTAACATCAATCTATCCTTAACATATTGGGAAGTTACATATATATTTGCATTTGACCATCAACGGTTAATTAAAAGAACCTAGATACATGTCTTCTATTTTAAGTTTCAAGAAGCTTAGTTTTTCACAACTGATGTTAAAATGTTAAAAGGGACTATTAATTTTTTATAGAGCAAGTTGTATGACATTGAGTTATTAGGAGTTGGTCTTAAAAGAATGCTTTGATTTTTCAATAAGATGACTTATAACAAATCAAATGTATAGGCCTAAAGATTGCTTCTGACGTTTAAAATGCCATATATAATTTTTAAAAGCTGTTACTACTCATTTCTAGGAAATTTTGAATTAACACTAAAGATTGTAGGATCTCTTTCAAATCTTGCAAATTACATGATGTTATTTAATGGATAATAGAAGGAATTCCAGCAATACTTATTGTTATCAATGTCCCCATCATTTACACCATCGTCATAATGTTCATTATCACCTTCATTACCATCATCATTATCACCATAATCATAATATTCTTCACCATCACCATAACCATCATCATCACATTCATCATCATCATCACCATCGTAATTATCATCATCATCATTTAACACGAACATCATCATTATCTTCATCACTATCATCATCATCACCAATATCACCACCAATGTCATTACCAACATCATCACCATCTCATCATCATCATCATTATTATTATCATCTTTATCAAGGCTGGAATAACTGATAGCGATGGCAACCAGTTAGTTGACCTCTCCGACATCGATCTGTTATCAACTAGTAACTATGGAGTGCCAGGAAGTAGGATATTCGAAATTTCAGATGCAGTGCGTGAGATAGGGAAAGGTACACTATTTTACGTAGTAATGTTATATCAGACTATTATAAATTTAACATCTAGTCTTTATCGTTTAGTACGCATTGGGGCTAAGTCCAAAAATATCCGTACAAAATATTTGAATATGTTGAATTGACTGAGTAACGTTTTACACTGATCGTCTAGACGGGTAAATTTTGAGCACATAGAAAATCAGTTAAGTGACTATCTGTGGCGGGAATTTTCTGTGGCAAGAAAGGCACAAATACAAGTAAGAGGTTAGATTGAGAGGCTGTCTGTCGTTATTTGCATCTTGTGAGCAGAATACAACTATATCCGCCTCCATTGCCTAGTGGTAAAATAATTGTGCGTATAGTCAAAGGCCAGGGCTCGATTCCAGTGTAGGACAAGCGTTCGCAAGCCTTGTAGTAATTTCCACAAAAAGGAAGCATTAATGTTTTGTGTGTCATCCAGTGTATTTCTCACTGTATATATATATATATATATATATATTTTTTTTTTAATTATTTATTTATTTATTCGTACGGGGTAGCCCATTCAACATCAGTTGGTCTCCCATGGGGCCCCTAAAAACATACATCCAGGAATGCAACACAATATGTTAAAATAAAATCATTCAAAATACATACACAATAATGCCAAGTAAATAGTTTAAAAATAGCATGTAAAAACATTGAAATATATCAAGGTGAATGTTTGCAATATAGAATAATCAAATATTTAAAGTACAATACCGAGTAACAGAAAATAATGATATTTTAAAAAAGATATGAAACAGATTATTGGTGAGTAATTAGGTGCCATAGATTCCCTCATACGTCCAATGACTTGAGATAATGTTTAAGATTAAATTTGAGAGATACCAAAGAGGGCAACTCCCGTATAATAACCGGCAAATTATTCCACAAATTTGGACATAGGTAATATAAAGAGTGTTTGTAGTACTCAGTGCGGGAACGACAAGATCGTGTCTGGTCGCTTGCCTCGTATTTTTATCATGTTTTCTACTTAACTCTTGGAAATAATTTTAGTAATCAGGAGAGAGGCCTTGACAGCATTTATAAACAAATATATATCGGAAACAAGTTATTCGATATCTGAACACAAAAGGAAACTGATTTTATTGTGAACAACTGCGTTTTCTATTTCTTTTCAACAGTTCAATGTCAACCGTCCAGCCCTTGTCAGAATGGAGGAACGTGTACGAACGATGAATGCTTTTGCGCCGAGGGTTTCCACGGAAACTTCTGTCATTTAGGTAAAAAAAAAGAAGTAATATCAGTTCTGTATTGTCACAAATTGTGCGACCCAAGATAGGGGTGTCGTTAAAAAAAAAGACATATGCAAACTCTACTTTTCTCTAGGCTGTTAGTAAATATGAAAAGAGAGATGTTTTGGGTTTTGTGAAGAAAAAATGCTGGCTATCGCGTGGGTAAATTGGGTCCAATAAGCCTCCCCCATTGGAAATAATTTGAGTAGTAATCAGGATAGAGGCCTTGACAGCATTTATAAACAAATATATATCGGAAATAAGTTATTCGACATCTGAACACAAAAGGAAACTGATTTTATTGTGAACAACTGTTTGTTTGTTTTTATTTCCGAAATCCATATATATATTCAAGTTTAAAAAAAAAACATACATATAAAACACATTTCAAACGATAAGAAAGTAAGTAAAAGTGTAAAGTATAGACAAACGGTTGGATAGCCCATTTCAGTACCATTTTCAAAATGGTCCTGTTCTTCCATGGGGTCCAAAAGCAAAAATCATATTAATTTACATACAATATCAATTTTTATAAACATCAAAGTAATTTACCAATACACTACCCCCCCCCCCCCTTAGCGTTCCCCCTAACCTCACCACCCCCGCCACCCTCTCGATATTGCCAACCCTTCCCGCTACCCCTTTCCAAGTCCTCCAGTGTATATTATCTCTGTCATAACATTTAAAAATAATTTTTTTATTTCTTTATTAAGTATAGCCAAACTTCTTGATTGTCGAATGTTAATAGACAATCCATTATGCTATTTACTTCCGCGATACAGAAACATACGCTTACAATTCTGTTTTCGGTTTAGGCAAAACTAGATTAGTACTTCTAAGGGCATAGTTAGTAGTCTTAACAATAAACTGCGTTTTCTATTTGTTTTCAACAGTTCAATGTCAACCGTCCAGCCCTTGTCAGAATGGAGGAACGTGTACGAACGATGAATGCTTTTGCGCCGAGGGTTTCCGCGGAATCTTCTGTCATTTAGGTAAAAAAAAAAAAAAGTCATATCTGTATTGTCACAAATTGTGCGACCCAAGATAGGGGTATCGCTAAAAGGACATTTCAAAGAGTTAAGTTACTCCATTCGCATATCTGTTGACAAACTCTACTTTTCTCTAGGCTGTTCGTAAATATGAAAAGAGAGATGTTTTGGGTTTTGTGAAGAAAAAAATGCTGGCTATCGTGTGGGTAAGTTGGGTCCAATAAGCCTCCCCCATTCAGAAAAGTCTATAAACTATAGGTTGTTTCTTAACCAAAGGAAAATTTCGTTTATATGTTTTGGGATCCCTGCTTTATTCGTATATGTATACAAAATGTACGTTCAGTTAGGTAGCCCATTGGCATGATAATTGCTATTCCTTTGTACAAGTAACGGGATGAAATGTGATCAAGGGCAAGGGGTCAGGGTAACATCTTATAGGACAAGAAGCTGTGTTACATTAATTTGGCTATAACCATTAAGATGCTGCTTCGTACATTTAAACGCACATTTTGATTAAATGAGGATTTTACTTTACAATTATATATTCATTCGTTTCGAATTATACAGAACTAATCAAGTTTAACATAATTAGATGAGATATAACAAATGAAAGCAATTGATACTCTGGCTTTAATTTCAGTGGACTGCGGGAAAGTTACCTGTATGAATTTGGCATCCTGTCACATTGACCAATGCCATTACATATCTGGATTCACAAATTCTCTGTGTGAAGATAGTGCTATTTTCCTATACCGAGTACTGTTTTCTATATCTATAGTAAAGCTAATCCCGTAATGGCGTAGTGCCCCCCCCCCCCACCTACGATGACAGTATGTGCATCGATAGCCTATTACGAACGCTTGTGATTCTTATCTCGTATTAAAAGTGTCAGGTCGAGACACAAGTTTTCGTAGATGTTCGGTAATTTACTTTTTCAAAAAGTGGTAAACTGCACCCAACACTTTGGCGATTAAATAGGGATGTATTTAAAAAACGTTGCAACTAGACCCTTCTGAAGATAGGGCTTGATCATTCACAAAAGTTGAGGTATCCCGAAATTTCGACCCGAGACGAAGCACGAAGAACAAAGTAAGCCCCCCCCCCTTTTTGTTGTTGTTTCTTTAAAGGTTGAAAGGCCGAGGAAAAAATAACGAAAGTAGTACATGGTATTCATAAATAATTTTAAGTACTTGGCTGGACTGCTAACTAAGTAAATCACTGTACCACTCTCTTTGTGTAAGCTCGGTTTAAAGGACGTGCACGTTATTTTGAGCCATAGGGTTAGAAGTGTTAAGTCCTTGTAAGATTAAAATTGTTGTCTGTTAGGGTATGAAGGACAGCTATCTGTCTATCGCTTTCCGATTGCTTGGGGAAAATTTAGCAATATGTTTACCCCATATTATGACCATATTATGCTCATATTATGCTCGGGTGTCTGGATGAAGATGTGATTAGCTTTTTGTCATGCCAATTAACCAGATTTTATCAGATTTCATAGTATACTTATAGGACTACTTTGTAAGTAATCAGACCTTTTTATATTTTGTATTATTATATTTCTTGTGATAATCATCCATATAGAAATATGTTTTTCTAAAAGAAATGTTAATTGGGTTGAAAAATGATTAACTATTAATTTGAAAGTGTATGCATTTGACATTTAGACAATTGGTGATAAAATATGACTAGTTAAATGTTATAGCTGAATTAACATGTATTATTTTACGAATATTTGATATTAATTGTTTTGTTAATTAGAATCATTAATTAATACGACGATAGCTGAAAGTATTGATTTCTTACATTCTTGTATGTATATATATATAATTTGTAAACGGAATTTGTAAACGGATTTGTTATTCGTACAAGTTAACTTCCCAGTTTTTAAAGTGTCCGAAATGAAGACATTTGTCCGAAATAAGGCGAAAGCCTTTTGCTTTGTATTTGCTATATCAGAAGATCAAATACCGACATAGTTCCTACGACGATTCGATGCTTGGAGACTTGTGAAGGTTGATGTCCCGTAATCGCTCGTTACGGCAATCGGTCACGTGCTTCAAGATCCCGGATATAATGTCTCGGCGATTCTTGGATGCTAATTCGACGATTCGATGCTTGGATGCTTGTTCGATGACGATCAGCGTGCTACACGTTAGTAGTGAAGAACGTTCTTGTCCGCTCTTACGGCTATAAATGAAATTATCAATATATCCTTCAAAATACATGATATTTAATTTCTACGGTTTCAACACTTATTTCTAATACTCATTTTCGAATAAATCAAACGATGAAATAATAAAGGTTATTTCACCAGACTTTCTATATCCGGTTATAACAAAACCAACATGGTTTCCTTCCACTACACTTTCATTTCATTATTAACTAGGGTCACCAATCTAACTGACCCGGGCAAAAATAAGATTTAATTGCTATATCAGAAGATCCAAAACCGACATGGTTTCTACGAGGAATAGATCCCTGGAGACTTGTGTCGGAAGGATGATGACCCACAAACTTAATCAATCATTATAAGAATTTCGTGATGTCAATAAAAATTCGTTAGAGAAATTCTAGCACAATAATTTCAATAATAACTTGTTTCTCATCATTACTACTAGGTTGTACTGCGTTAATTCATTAACACAAAATAAAATGTTCTTTTACATATAATTTCAAAATGTATGCATGAAGCGTTAAAGCATTTATATCAATAAACGTATATAATTATCCCTATCGAACGACGCTCAGGAGAACGATAGTTCATGAACGGCTCTTTCGTCACGTGTTCGTGAATAATTACTTTTGATACACATATACGAGCTACTTTCCTCTAACGTGGTGCTTCTTGCACACTGTAAATATGTAAATTATCTGAATCCATTATCACACGTAGGTTATGTATAGAAAACTACTTACAGTTATGTTGACAAAGTTGTGCCAATGGCAGGAAAATCGAGGTTCTGGGCTACATGGAGGATACCTCTTGTACCGGTGTCGCCTGAGGAAAAGGACTGCTTGCGCCGAATACGAAATCAAGGCTCTGGTAGCAACTTCCACAACACACATAAGGGTACATGTTCAAGACCTCTCACACGTCCAGCTACAACCACGTCTTCTAGTCAACTGCCCTGATTTAAGTCCACACGTACACACCTTTAAGCATTCTCGGCACCACACCCTAATTTGCATATATTCAGACAAGCGAAATATTTTCTATCACTAACGCCCTCTAATGTCTAGATGACCTTGAAAATAGGAAAACAAATAAAATAAGAACAAATTTCCCATTTTACTCTGACACTGTATCCGGCCTTTTTATTCAGCATTGTTTTTTGTTTTTTGATAAACCAGAATTGAATTTAGTTGAATTGAATTAGCAAGCGTTTTGTTTTCAAATCAGGGTATGGGTAAACAAATTTTTTATTTATTATCATTTACTTTGCTGCTTCCTTTGGAGAAATTAAAGACTGGCAAAAAAAATAAAATCTAAAGTCTTTTAAGGATTAATGAACCCTAGATTGTCGGCAAAGCGGTATTGTGAGGCGTACCGTTTGTTCCTAGGAGCTTAATGCTTCTCTATCCACTAATTTGCATTTTATGTAGACGTCCTCTTTCCGTATGGGAGCTCAGTAGAGTTTAACGACTCGATGCTACCAATGCTAACAGAGGCTAGTCACACGATAAGTATCTCCAATCCCTTCAAGTTCGCCGGGGAGAGCTACGACGAAATCTTTGTAAGTTTGCTCTGATTTAATTCATTTTTTAAATGGTATAATAATATATGGGACCACGTGTCCTGCTCCCCACGCTCATGAATGCCATTTATTGCGTCTTGATCCTCTCTTCTCCTCTCAAACACTTGACCTTATATAAAGTCACGGCATGGCGTGCTATTTGTTCTTTTTCGATGTAAGGAATCATGTTCATGTATTATTGTCACACACACACCCCGCACATACACGCAGGGGCGGCGATCCCAGGGGAAGGGGGACCACGCCCCCCCCCCCCCTCATTTTGTTTGTCGTCCCTCCCCGGAAATTTTGAAAAAGTGCACACAAAAAATGTATAGTAGATAATGACTAAAGACTGCAACACACTTTCAGGCTCTGGAGAGCCCAACAGTGCAGCGTTTAAACGAATAAAAATGCAAAAATCAAGCTCGGTCGCTATACGCTCCCTCGAACAATATCCCCGGTAGAGAGGGGGGAACTCAGATTTGGTTTGGACGGGGGTTAAAATCCACTTTGCCCCGGAGGTCCGGGGCAAAGTGGATTTTTACTATTTTCATAGTGTTACATATTTTGTTCAAGTTCATAGCATTCAATACAACTGATTATGTAAGAAACAAATTGTTCGTTTCATTTGTTAGTGGTAGTCCTAAAGTAAAACTATAAACGAAATGTTTTGCTTTACTTTGCTTAACCCTGCTCTGGTCGTTCCAATTTTGTTGGTCCATTTTGCCCCGGTTCCCCTACACAGTCATTATTGACGTCTTAGCAGCGCGCATCCAAAGTAAAGGCAACCTAAATGTAATCGAGAGGGCTTTAGTCCAAAGGATCACAAAATAGATTCCCGTCATTTTATAAAACAGTTTTTGAGCGTCAAGTAACGCCCGGCTGGAATGCTAACCAGGGAGTGGATATTGTGCACACAGAGGCGGCCCTCCCGGGGGGGGGGGGAGGACAGAGGGGGCACAGTGCCCCCACACTTTTTCAAGCACCCGAAAAATGCCCCTTTTTACATAGGAAAAGTGCCCCCTTAACTTTGTAAGAAGTGCCCCTTTTTACATAAGAATAGTGCCCCTTTTACCTTGACAAGTGCCCCTTTTAATTTGTAAAAGTGCCCCTTCCCCTTTTTACCTCTGTTAAGAGCGCTTTTATTTTCACACGTGCCCCCTTTTCCTTCGACAAGTTCCCATTTTCCTTTGCAAAAAGTGTCCATTTCCATTCTCATATAAAGTGTCCTTCTTAATCTCTATAGTAAGTGCTGCTTTTCAGGTACGAGAAGTGCCCTTTTTCACTTTTGATAAGTGCC